CTGCTCATGGCAGGGGGATTGGAACTAGATGATCTTAAGGTCCTTTCCAACCCTAACTATTCTATGATTCTATGAATTAACTCTCAACCCCTACTTTAATTTTACCTTGACTCTTATAAAAAATAAACATGATCCATTTCCTCTATTAAGGAGGAGATTTGACCGATTGTTCAAGACATGACTATTTTCCTGTTATTATTGCATATTCGTACTTTGCACAAATATAATCTCCTTTGCTGACTGCACTCAGAAGTTACTTGCAATTTCCTGAAAAAGAACACCATGAACAGACGGATTATAAATCTAATTTACAGATTGTTCCAAGGATCTTCCTTGAATATTAGGAGTTTAGGCCTCTGAAGATGTGGGAAGAGAAACTAAGCAGGTGGTCCTCTCTTTCAGACACATTAAGGAAAAGAGTAAGAAAGATTATTTGTTTCAGAAGATGGCAAGGCACAGAATGGCTGCCCCTGAACACAGAACTCTAAATAAGACCTTTGGCAGTGACAGAAAATACACTGTGTAAGTATCCCATCAATGCAGCCTCTTCATTTCTACAAAAACTGTAAATATCTCATCCATGGACAATGGAGAAAAAAAAAAAAGTGTGACCTGAACAATATGATTGTATATACACATAGCAGCAGATACAGTATGAAATAAATAGATACTAGAGAAGAAACCTAAGAGAAAAGAAGACATAGCTGAAAATTAATGAGACAGCATTCTGTAACAAACCCCTTCAGTTTCAGGACCTTGTGCTTCTGAGGCATTTCCACTGTGTTACAATTCAAATCATCCAGTCTTTTAAATATAAGTTGTTCAATATTCTATATAGCTAATATTTCACAAAAGCACCCTGTAACAAATTTTGAGTATTAGAATATTGATACTTTCACATGCTATTTAAAAAGCCAATATGGAGTATGAATCTGAAAAGTGAATTTGTCTAGCATAATACCAGCATGAGGAAAATCCAATAAATCATATGCATACATATATACGTACACACAAATACATACTTATACATATGCATGTATTATAGATACACACATGCACATATATACCCATACATACAAATATACATATAAAAAAGAACACTGGTGGTCTAATCACCAGGTCTGCAGAGCTCTTGCAACTGTCCATGAAAACATTGTTGCAAACAGAAAATCCAGCCACTCCTTTTTTTCTTTTTTTTTTGGCCAACTGATGTGTAATGTGTAGTAACTTGTAAGCTATGGAAAACAGATGGAGAGTAAGAATTATTGAGTACTACATCTAAGAAGTTCTGTTATTAATTGAGGTGGTGGTGGGGATGGGGGTCAGGGATGGGTAATACAAAACTAAAAGAAAAAATTACACTCTAGAATTCCTTCAAGAAAAAGTTCAGAAAGTAAATGGCTACACAGAACTGAGTCCTATCTGTATCACAGTTTACATCAAACTTGATAGGATAAGGTATAAATGTAAAAGCATTGTAATCTTTCAGATCAAGTTGCATGGAACTATGAAAACTCCAATTTTTCTCATTAATCTGTGGTCTTCTTGCCACCTCTGTGCGATTTGGGTCACCTCCTGATTACTCCACATCCACCTCCAAGAACAGAAACCATATTGTGCCACCCAACAGAAAACAACATTAAGCCTCCTGTATTTCTCCGTTTATTGCTCCCAAGATGAAAATACCTGGCTAAAAGAGATTGCAAGGGCCAACACCCTTGGCTTGGTAACAGCAAAAGTCTAGTTATTTACACATCACCTAAGCTCTCCTTATTTAATGCCTATGTACAGAAATAGTTGTGAAATCTGCTAAAAGAATGAGCAGTCACAGCACCATCAGTGACCTAATGAATAGTTTTCCCAAGACAGATAGAACAGCTGTGAATCAAATACAGATCTGGCCTTCATGACAGAGTCATCAGTCAAATGTTTTAAACTAAATCATTCTCAGAAAGTCTATGACTGACTTAAAGCCCTGTGAATGACTAGAATGTATGAGTTTTGCTTGCAGTTTACCAACAGGCTTTTTTCAGTTTTTCAGAAGTCCTACTCAATTAATAAACTGCTGCACATGAAGGCTAGAAAAGGGTATTTAACTGCTTAAGCCCAGTACAATTTAAAATAGGCAGCTGTGCTTCCCTAAAGCAAAAATCTCCACAAGGAACAACAAGTATTGCAAAAACTTCAGTAAAATCAATCACAGGGATTTTGTGGACAGAAGAGCCATCAACTTCTAAGACCAGGGAAGATAGAAGACTACTCTCTCATTTTAAGTGCCTAAGCTTTGTTCAGTATGGATAAAATTACAGAGAAATAAGCACTGCTTCACTGCTGACTTGCTTATTCCAGTATACCTAGCAAGCACATACAACAGAAAAAAATGTCTCATTAAGTTACATAATTCTGATTTAAATCAATATGATTTGATAATTTCTAAGTAATTTTTAAAAACTTTTTGATTGAATTGGAGTAGTCGTGTAATTCCACAAGAAATTAATCATGTTCAGAGACATATTAACATGAAAATCACCTGCCCTGACTAGTACAGCAGAAAGAATCTGCCTTTGCAAACGTCTGTAATGAGACTTTGACTGGCCTGATTTTTCTTGAAGATGCAACATTCCTAGCTGAGTTCAATTAATTTACCTTAAAAGTGGGGCTTTAATAAAGCACATTATTATATTTATAACAATTCTCTAGTCTAGCCTGTAGCTAAGAAGTAGCAATGACACCTGATGAGTTATATTACTTGACTGATTTATGCCTTACGTTCTCATGTTCAAACCTAACAAACCTACAGAGTCAGTACGTTTAACGTAGATACTTAATGTTTCATAAGCACACATTAAAGCACATGGTGATGCAGTTTCAAGACTTTTAGTCTAGACTGTACAGACATTCACATTAAGATGTACAACAACATACAGACTCTCAGTTTATTTGAAATAGCTGTTCCTTTCCAATCTGAGCACTATATGAAAACCAGAACCAAAGAACAAAATCCTCTTAACCAAACTTCAAATCAGAAAAGCATGAATACAGCGTGCAAATGCTACTGCTTGGTTGGTTGAGATAGAAATCTTACCAAGTCCAGAGTTGTCTAGTAGGTTTCTGGCAAGAAGTTGTTCTATGTCTAATCTCAGACTGCAAAGAAAGTTTGCTTTTCTAACGTCTGACAGTGAAACACGATTCCGTTTAACATGGCATGACTGTAGTTGCACAGTGTGAGATTATCGGCAATGAGAACATTTCTAACAAATGGCTTTCTTTGCAGAGAACAGAGAACTGATCTTTGCAGAACACGTCTTTGGTAATGAGGTATGCCAAGCATGCTGTACCAGTATTAATCTTCCTATAAAAGCCAGCAAATTGCTACAGTTCAACATGGAGATAATGAAAAGAATGTTTCACAGTATCCAAGCTCTGGTCAGGTGGAAGTAAGTTATGATGTTTCCATGTTATCTAGCCAGAAACTGTGAAGGTGTCTGCCAAAATTCATGGTTTCTCATTCTCATGAAATCCTCCTGTTCAAAAAGCTACAGCTACACTACATGATTCATGTATTTCCTTCCCATGAAATCAAGGAGCAGTAGACGGGTGGTGTGTTGACCTAAACCCAAACCTGGGAGCAGGGAAGTGCTCCTGAATCCTGCAGTTCAAAGGAAGTCAGTAAGTTTCATCACATCAGCAAATCAAAACAGTAGTCCCCCTGCAAATGTTCTTTTCTGACATTCATAATTAGAAAATGCCTACGCAAACAGGCTCAAAATAAAATGTTGCTAAAGGAGACATAACAGTAATTCTTTTCACCATAAGCATATTGGTTAATGCTGTCACCTGGAATGCCAATGGAGTTTGACTTTTCATTTCAAAATAATTAAGGACTCGGTGGTCAACAAGAGTCAAAGAATGAGAACAAATTAATGATAAAGTTATGCGGGAGCTCACTAGAAAGAATGGACAGATGTATAATAGTTTCTGCCCTGTTGATTACTCAATATGAAGTATTTAAATACTCAGAGTTTGGGGTAAGTCAGCAAAAATGCTTCTCCCAGATGAACATTTCAATTACTGTTCAACAGGGTCGCTCCCATACATTGGTCCAATGATTAATTATTTCCAAATTTAAGCAAAGCAGCAGCTTCAGCAAGATGTAACAAATCGCCTAAAATAGCAGGAAATTCAGGAATCTCATGTTCAGAAGTGAAAGAAATATCTTCAAGCTAATCAGGCAAATAAAAGCATCTGAACCAACTCCCTTGCCTCTTGCACTCTGTCTCAATGCTTTATTGCACAAAATGTAGGCACTGTTACTTCTGACTGTATTCTGTAAGAAGTCAGCTTATGCATCCAACTCCAGAAGAGGACTTACGATCATGACTTCAGAACTGAAAAAGGTGTCTCCAAGTTTAATTTTCTTGCAGCAATGCGATCTAGGACAAACTGGCTCTTGCACTGGTTTGTCCTACTAACCTGCTCTCTAAGTAGTGCATTGGCTTTCCTATAGTCCATTGTTAAGTGCTGACATTTCAGCTGTCAGACAAGAATATACCCAGGTTCTTCTGTAGATCTACTTCTAGCTGTGATAACTCTACTAATTCTATACTATATGGTGGTGAAAATGTTCTCTTTCTCATTTAATCTCATAAAATTTTAAAAAGGTGTCATAAATGTCAAAGTGTTGAAAGACAGCAAAAAAGCAGCACCACCCCCCATAAATCTTATTTAGGACAAGAAAGGGAGCTCATACACTAATCCTAGCGGAGCAACATTTCTGCTAAACAGTAGTTTGAAAATTAATTTGGATGAAAACAGGAGCATAGCAGGAACACTTGTTACAAGAGTTGTCCCATGCCAAAATCTGCCTTACTATTCACACCTAAAACAACAGAACATTGGAGACTGTAGATGATTACCTGCAATGGGAATGACACAGAGTATGAAACTAAATCTCATCTAGAGTATCACAGGTTTTGTTTTATTATTTCACATGGTTCATCACTATTTATTTCCTTAAAAAATTACTAACATCCTGCCCCCTCCAAAAAGACACAGATGTCAAGTGAATCAATAAAGGTCGATCATCAATCAGGACGAAGGGCATGGGGGAAGCTTCTAGCATCTTCTCACTGGAGGCACCTCTGCAGCACCCCCCCCCAGCTACCAAAACCTTGCCATGTAAGCCCAACGCAGGCAGCACAGAGAGGAAATACTTAACGCTGATTTTCACAAAAATAGGTCTGAAAAAAAATATTGATAATCAGAAAGCCCAAGGACTCAGAAACCATTCTATCCTTGTGGTTTGAGATAAGCCAAATGCCTTCAGTTACACATTTTTTCAGCTTACCTGGGTGTTGTGAAGATATAAAAAGCTACGTACGTGAAAGCATGTTTATAAATTTTAAAATATAACAATTAAAACCCAGTATTTTCTTAGATTGCATAACTAAAATATAATAGTTAAAGAGTAACACCAATACATAATTAAAATTGGATAATTAATGAAATGTGTTAATAACAACAGAGTGACTGTGAGAAGTTGTTCTAGGGTTTGGGTTTTTTTTTACATATACATATATACACCTAACATTTTTTCAAAACTATG